CTCATCCAATATCATGTTTTTTGCTTCTCTGAGATCCTTGAGCCTATAGAGATTTTGTTTCATCTTTATTGTTGAAAGAAAAATTTTAGTTAACATATATACGTACATACATATGTATGTGTATATATATATATACACACACATACATACATACATACATACATATGTATGTATATGTATGTATATGATATTTCATCAACAAAATCGATATGCAAAAAGATTGACAAATTTAAATGTTGCATTGCAGTTGGATAAAGCTGCCCCCGTTCTGGCTGGATTAAAGAAGCCCATCATTGTGGCGAAAGTAAATGCTGACAAATATAAATGTCTTGCTTGTAAGCATGAAATTGAGTATGTTGCTGTGGCCTTTCAATTCACTTGGAATCTTTGAACAGTATTCCGTTGTAGCTTGAATTTGGTGTTTATTATTTTTCTTTAGCTGAGATCTTAAGTTAAAAACTAGATTACTTCTTTGAGACAATGTTTCTAATCTTAGCACTAAGAGAAAGGTGGAAAATCCTGAGAAATTTATCTGTTTATTGCAGTGGATATCCAACTCTGAAGATATTTGTCCATGGAGTTTCTACAGAGTATTATGGACCTCGACCAGCCGACTTGCTTGTTCGGTTTCTGACAAAATTTGTTGCTCCTGATGTTGCTATTCTAGATTCAGACTCAGCTATTAGCGAATTCGTGGAAGCAGCTGGTACTCATTTTCCTATATTCATCGGCTTTGGTTTAAATGAGTCCATGATATCAAATTTGGCTGTTAAGTATAAGAAGAAAGCATGGTTTTCTGTCGCAAAAGAATTCTCGGACAATATGACTTCATATGATTTTGATAAAGTTCCTGCTTTGATTGCCACTCATCCAGCCCACAATGAACAGAGCATATTTTATGGGCCTTTTGAAGGTTAGCTCGTCTTTGATTATCATATTTCTTCTTCGAAAGCTGTAGTTTTGAATTTTTTAACAGCCTGTTTGGGCTCCATTAAAAATAGGTTTTGAGAAAAAAATGTAATTTAGAATAATGATTTTTTGAAGAATGTGTGTTTGAAAGTCAGAAAGAGAAATATGCATTCCACAAAAATGGAGCCCATACAGGGGCTTAATGTTCCGAAGCTTATGCCGTTTTGATATATCGTGCTTTCTAGATTTCTTGTGGTTTATACTCTATAGCACATTCTGTTGTTTAAGCTATTATAGTTAGGCTTAAATGCTCTGATTGAAACTAAATGTTAACATGCATGATGACCAAATCCTGATTCTCATATAAAAGTGCTGTCTGTTTCAATTCGGAAACATTGAGAAGAAATAGATGAACTTAATATAAGATATCGGCTTTCTCATTTTGATTGATGCATAGAATGGGAAGGAAAAATTCAAATGAAAGATTGGGGATGAATGTCCATGTGTGAGAGTTCTGTATTTGCCAGTAAACAGCACTAAAATAGATGAATATCACCCCTGCCCCATCTCCCAGGCTCTCCATCAATCCCTTGCTTGTCTGTGCTTGTATATATATAAAATATATTTATGTCTTATACATAAGGGGAAGAACCATTAAGTTTCGTTTGTCTTGAAAGGGTGAGGACCAGCGTTTGAGGGTGAACATGTGAATATAAAGGCTTTGATGAATCTATCATGAAGAGGAGTGGCCTCAAAGATGCTAATATTTTGTTTTATTCTGAATGGCAGATAAGTTCCTTGAAGATTACATAAAACAAAGTTTGTTACCTCTGGTATTACCCATAAATGAAGATTCACTGAGGTCGCTGAAAGATGATAAGAGGAAGATTGTTCTAACAATAATGGAGGACGAAACAGATGAGAAGTCCAATAACTTAATAAAGGTCTTAAAGTCCGCTGCATCTGCAAATCGTGACTTAATATTTGGTTATGTTGGGGTCAAGCAGTTTGAAGATTTTGCTGAGTCATTTGAAGTAATAAAAAAAAAAAAAAAAAAAAAAAAAAAAAAAAAAGAGGGGGGGGGGGGGGGGGGGATGTCTTAATCGTGGCTTTCTTAATTTATGAACACGATGAATGGAATGCAATAAATATTTAGGGCAGGTTTGTCTTTACTCCCATTGGTTATGTTGCTAACAAGAATCACCATTAAATTTCACGCGTGCTGTTCATTTTACACTTGCATGTTT